ATTCAGGCACCGCGCTGTGAGGAGTAGAATCAGAATATACATAGTTTCTAGCGCTCACATCTACAACCCCATCTACTGGGTTTTCCAACTTCCGTCTAGCGAAGAACTTCCATGAAAAACCGGAAAAAAATTTGAGAACGAGTTTCATGCATCTCGAGACTCGTCGTAGTCACATTGAAATTGCCATGAAGCCAATTTTTCGAAGACCGTCGCGCTGATGCTATAAATTGCCTAGATGGGCCTTAGTGTTCGGTTCGAAGGTAGCGGCGGTAAAATGCTTGAAAATTTCGCGATTTATTTTGCAAGCATTCGGATGCTCCGTTTCTTGAAGAATCCCCAGGGCTTAACCATTCTCTCGGGTTTCGACTGGCGGACGGACCGTTATAACGAGGTTGATGCTCACCATCAGAGCGGTGAGCCTCCATGTCTCTCCATGTCACTCCATAGATCTTCGACCTTTGCTAGAGCTCTACTTTACTTCTTGAAAGGATTGGTCTGCCTAAATTAATCGTGAATGTGCCTTCACCCGGGTGGCAAATACATCAATATACTAGAACACAATACTAATTTCCGACAACAAAATGCGTCTGGACCGTGCAGTCCCTTTTCATTTTCCTCCTCAAATGATTTTCTTATTCTGAAACATTATGTTTCAGATGGCGATCTATGGAAAAAGCTTCTTCACGTCGGCTAAGGAGAGCTTTTTGCTTCTTGTTAGAAACTGCGTTCGCGCCGCCGTTGTCAATCAGGTCGCTGGAATTTTGCTTTTCATCGGAAAAGCCCTAATCACACTTGGAATGGGTGCGTTTCTTTTCTCTCATCATAGGCTTGGATCCTGTTGCTAAGCGAAGGTTATCAGTACACATTTTTTTCACTCAGAGTGCATACTGGTTTTGAAGAGTTTAGTTCATGACAGTTACAAATCCAGTGTTCGCTTTGTCCTGATCAACGTCATTACTAATGTATTTAATCAAACTTAGTAAGTATAAATTTCGCTGAAAGCTGTCATCATTGACAGGTGCGGCATAGCCGTACAACATATAACGGTTCCTCTGCCATTGGTTTAATTTACTTATTGTCTAGACACAATGGGAGCGAAGTGCTCAAAATTGTTTCACTTACCCCTTCTTGTGCTGTTGAGGTTGAAGACGTCAGCTGATAAGGCCTCTGGTATTCTTGTGGAAGCTAAAAGTGATCAGACTCTATCGCACCCTTTCTCTAAATGTCACTTTTAACAAGTTAAAGGTGGTGATTCTGATGTAACTGACAGAAAAAAAACCACTACTCAACCGAAAAAAAGTTCCATGCTAATAATTACAAGCAATATACGGCTCGTTGAGCTCACGAATGATCCATTATTAACCTGTGTGTTTTCAAACATAGGCAAGCAGATTCAGAAAAGAAAAATGGCTGCCGCGCGAACTGTCCCCACTGGCGGTCGGCTCAGCGAAAGGCCGAATTCGGATTCAAAGTCTTCAGCGAAAGCCCGAATTCGGATTCAAATCTTGAAAAACTCTCGAGGAAGCACTGTTGCCGCTTGTATAGGAAATCCTCTCACTCTGAGCTCAAACATCGAGCATAGAATCTTTTGAATAACTTCTAATCAGATCGACGCCGCTAGCCAGCTATTAGACAATTACGAATACTCAGAAGGTCTAAAATTAAGTAGGGGACTTGATCACTTTGGACCCATCGAACCTAAAATCGTATCGTCGTGTTGGGATCGCCAATTCACCGAAAGATGGAAAAAGGATGAAGAAAGAGTAAAACATTTCGTTAAAATAACTTATGACACTTGTTTATAAGAAACATTTTCTTAAACAGGAAAAATTACCAAAAATTACGTGATTCACCTAAGAAACCCTCAAAAACCCAGTTAAGGTTATGAAAGTGGCGGGAAACTTGGAGAAATTTCCAGCAACTCTTCAATTCACCCTGAGGTTCTTCGGTTAGCGACTTTGTCACATGTAAATGGGATTTAATTTTGATTAATGATTCACTTCATGTAATAATAATTGTTCATGAGCGATACATCCACTTGGTTTCTTAATTTGAATAGTTCAAATTAGAACTGTTCTTAAACAGTGTCACCAGCTAGGCCAGTCCAAATCAGTAGCTCAATTACTATTCGACTTTTAGAGAGCTTCAATGATCTCCGAGGTTTCTTCGTTGAATGATTAGTGGGAGTGTCGCAATTTTCGGGAATATTCCAAATTTTTTGGTTGAAAATTTTCCACTCCAAGTAATGTGAAAGTTTTCCACTGCAAACGCATTCATTGCCTTACTTCTCAACATTGCAGGTGTCGTCGCATTTTTCTATTTCTCCGGTCAATGGGTGGTCGATGGAATACCACGGGTCGAACTGTATTACTATTTTGTACCCATAATTCTCGTTTTAATTGGTATGATTTTATATTTCTACATAGTTTTTTCTTTCTTCTATTCTACTAGGATGTATTTTATCAATATCAATATTCACAACTTCATTTTATCAATTATTATTTATCATTATTTATATCAATCATTATTTTATCAACATCAATATTCACAGTTTCATTTTCCCTGTATGGAGGCAGTGACTAGTCAACTGTGGAAACGATCCACCTAAGTTTTTTCCTAACTTGAGTGAAGGGTAGACAATTCCAACTTTAGTGAATAATATTTATTTATGAATTTGACACTGAATACTGCAATTCTTATTGCATAGTGGATTCGTCCTCTGTCATTTCAAACGGCCGCTCTCAGAATCCTCGCAACTTTGTGCTGAATCGAGATTTTTTCTCAAGAGATGAAGCGCGCGCAACTCAATGGGCTCACTCTGGCACCGCTGTGTGCTTCACATCCCTCATATTGGTGGA